GGAGAAGACCCAAACGTAAACTCACAGAGACAAAAGGTAAACTCAAAAAACACAGCTTTATTGCTGGCGTGGAGTGGGACACGAAAAACAATACAAAATAAACTAAACTGGGAAAACTAAAGCACAAGGAGCCACAGGGAAAAATCACACAGCTATGATGGAGACTACGACACTGACAAAGAGAAACACAGGTTAAATGCCTGCCACACAGCCGAATCATGACAGTTTTATTAGATAACCCAGTCACTTACAGCTGCTTCTTCTTGGCATTACATTGTAAATTCTGTAGGTTTTTGCTACGGGACTTATCCAGAAATCAGTTATGTATTTGAGCATGTTTTTTTTATTCTAAAATGTAGGTACATATGTTCAAAGGAGATTTAAAATGCAATGGCTTGACTTGATTTGTTCAAAGGTTTGACAGTGCTACTAAAACTAAAGGCATTTAAAAGTGTACTGTACTGTACTGTGTTCTACTCTTAAAAGTTGTAATAAACCCACAATACAGTGCAAGATTTGATTTTACTTTATTATTTATCTAAATGTTGAGGACTGTATCTCAACTTCCATCTGCCAAACAAGGACCACAATTAGCAAGACATTGCAGTAAGAATGTGCTTTTACAAACATTAACTTAAACTTTTGGCATCTTCAGCCAACTCATGTAGCCTAGTCCAAAAATACAGCATATGCTAAAAAGCCCCTTTTTTTTTTTTTTTTTTTTTTTTTTCCCGTTTGGTTTTTTAGAAATGTGCAATTTCTAATAACTTCATGTAAAGTTCAGTGGCAGACTCCCAGCAGACTGGCTTTTGAAAATGATTTTGCTCCATTACAAAATTCAGATACTCCTGTATGTTTGAGTCCCCACATACAACTACTGACAGCCTAGACTCAGGAAAAGTGTCCAGTTCAGATTGTTGAATCAGGAATCCACAGTCCCTGGAGCCGTGTCTGTGGTCAATGGAAGACTATTGCATTACCGTAATATAGGTTTACACAAAGTAATTATTTGATCCTTATTATCCATTACCTGTGGGGGTAGGTAGTACAGTTTATTTGGCACACCTCCTGGACATGAAGCTGTTCTTGAGGGACTAATCCGATGAGTGTTCCACAGCTTCACACATTCATCAAGATCCTTCTGAACAATGTCAGTGAAGCAAAATCTCAAAAGGCACTGATGCTCGTGACTTCCATTGACGTCTCGAAGATCCGCAAACAGCTCCAACCAAAACTGAGCCCTACAGAAATTGTTAAAAAAATGTTTAGAAATAGTTTAGTTTGTTTACATGGCATTGTTTCACAACATGTCATCGCATGGCACTTTACAGTTCATTTTAACTGAATCATATATAGACTCCAGTCAGTTTTCTATTGAAAGGGATTGCATAGGCAAAAATCTAAAACATTTGAGTAATGTGCAAAAGTTCATTTATTTTAGTAATTCAAATTGATATTGAATTGAATTGATATTAACTCATTACATACAAAGTGAGGTATTTCAAGTATTTGTTATAATGTTAATGATTAAGACGTAGAGATTATGAAAAACCCAAATTCAAAGTCTCTAACAATTTGTATGTTCTATTTGTTTGGGTCCTTTTTGCATAAATTACTGCTATCAGTCTGTGCATCTGTTGAGGTGTTATGGAAGACCAGGATGCTTCAGTAGCAGCCTTGAGGTCTTAGCCACTACACTATGTGACACCCCTTTTATCCACACTTACATTAGACAAAACTTTCTATTAATGTGCTTTGAGAGTCTCTGGGAACAGCCAACGTCTTTTAAGGCAGCGGTCCCCAACCCCGGGCCTCAGGCGGGTACCGGTCCATGAGTCGTTTGGTACCGGGCCACGAGAGTTGAGGCTCAGGTGTGAAATGTATAGTTTTCAGGGGTTTTATCGGTTTTCAGCATTATTTTGTTATCGTTTTTATCGTTTACTCTGTTTTCCTTGGTCTTTTCACGTGTGTTATGAATAAATTTTCTTTTTTTCGGTACGGGTACTAGTTTTATTTTGTTGTATTTATCCGCGACACCTTAAAGGCCGGTCCATGAAAATATTGTTGGGCATAAACCGGTCCGTGGCGCAAAAAAGGTTGGGGACCGCTGTTTTAAGGTGTTCTTTATGGAGGGTGTCAATTATGGGGGTTTTTTTCCCCACAGCTGTCAGGACAGCAGTCATGTCCATCCTGTGAGTCCTCCTGAATTAGAAAGACCATTTAGAGGCTCAGGAACCCTTTGCAGATAATTTGAATTAATTAGCTCATAGTAGAGTGGCACTTTAAATCTAAAATATTTAACCTTTTCACCGCGCAACACGCTGTGCTTTCGCCGGGGTGTTTCTCAAGGT